ACTTAGTATAAACTCCGTTAGATTTTATAGGCACTGTGGTCGCAGCAACTTATTTCTAGTTCATGATCATAGTATCCTTTCATTTTTCCTTTTATTTTTCTTTATTTTCATCAGAAATCGTGATGAATATATGACACGATCCAATATATCACTGGGAAAAGACATCTACGGCGTCTAAAAGCCTTTACAAATTTTATGACTATTTGGTCGCCTTCAGATATTACATGGTTGGCGTGTAAATAATGAATATTCCTCCTGTATACTTTTAGTGGTTGCTTTCAATTTTTTTTTACCTCTGAAAGAACCTCGAATGCAAACTGTCACTCTAGCTAATTTCAGATCCAAATTAATAGTATTCCATTACTTATTTTTGTATGACTCGAATTGTATTGTTTATTTAAGATACTTACCATACTAAAAAAATGCTACAATTTCATTTGAAAATTTCTCTGTAACTTTTAAATTGATGTTGAAAGAACTTTTATTCTACATTCTACTAGCTCTTAAAGTATGCAGGGGTCCCAATGGCACCTAAAATTGTAAAAAGTGGTAACTAATAAAAAACTAAAAAACTATTAAAAGAGATTAAAATTAGTAACCTTTTTAGTACATGTCTTTCATATTACTATTGAAAGTGAATGCAAGCTATATTTTTATCTTGCTTGCATTATCTCTAATTGATACGGTCAATGTTTAAAAGAGGTATGTTACAAATCTGCACTTTTGAGAAAAACTAAAACTGAGTCAATTGTGAAAAGATTGCTTTAATTGCTTCCAAATCGTTGGATTCTCTTCGTTAGTCAGTCTAGAAAATTGCCTAGTACTTGATAATCGGTGATTGATATTCCAAAATCAACAAGAAGCTTATTTTCGCTGAAATGTTGCATACCCCCTTCACCACTGTACTAACCGCTTCAGTTATATGCTTGAAAATATCTAATTTGCAATGTACATCATGATGGCAGTTACCATTGAATGATTATTGAATTAAATAAATAAAAATGAATTACGTTTTTAACACTTTCTACATTTTTAGGTATCTGTGTCATTCCTAAGTAAGACTGTCGGTCTTCTTTTTGTTATTGAGTTACTGATGTGCTGCAGTATTAAAAAAAAAGTAGTATTTGTTAAATTATAAGAAAGAAATGTAGTCAATTTAATATCTCGTAGAATTTGACATTGGAACAAAATATTCCTTCCAAAACAAAATGTGCAATGTCAGGGGTACTACAGACGACTAAAAATTTAACAAGTGGGGAAAACTCAATACATGTTTAATTTACTTAATTATTCAATAGTAACTACCAACATGACATACATTGAAAATTATTCATATTTATGCAAAAAAAAATATCTGCATACCAGCCAACATTCACTCTTTTCTAGAATGGATTTTCCAAGTGGTAGTAAAACAATTACCAAAAAACTATCTTCCTCAAAAATATATTTATATTTAAATCAAGTTGAAATTCACTATCGTAAGGACTAATATGAGAGATGCCAACTGCTCCGGACACGCCAAAATAATTAAAAAAACGGTAAATAACTTCAAACTACTTTTGAAAATATTTGACTGTTTTTGCTTGCTTTTTAAAAGGTATAGCATGAAATAACTATTACAAAGTAGTGAAGTATATAAGCCTACAAAATATTTAGAAATAGTGGTGGATAAAAATCTACTAAATTGAATTTATTAAAACCAAAAATCACAATTGATAAACTACCACTTGAAAATATTTATTTGCCGTCCGGAGCAAGTTGGCATGTCTGTAATATGCTTTTATATATTTGTTGTAATTATTTATATGTAGTGGTGGTCAAACTGATTTAAAATTATTATTGTAATTCAGAAAGTTTTGTGAAATAACATGAACTTCGCTAGTCCTTTAAATATGAAAATAAAATCTTCCTGGAAAACCGGAAGAGTTGGCAGCTATGTTTCTGCAATCTCCTTCAGTAATAAACTAAAAGATACATACTAGAAAAGTTGCTAATTTTAATCACTTTCAATAGGTTTGTGTCTTTTATTAATCACCACTTTTTACATGTTTAGTCAGCTGTAGTATCCATTCGATACTAACAGTCGATTTGCTTTTCTTTTTTTTAAAAAAAAGACGTGTTCTATCAGTGTGACACGGGCCATACACCAAGACGGAAAAGAGCAAAAAACTGGTACGAAAAACATTTCATTCTAGCATTTTTACCAGAAAAATTTAATTTCTGTAGCTACTGAAAGTTTTCTTGCAATTATAGTATGCATATGAATATGCCTTTTTTTCTAAAGAAAAAGTAGATATTTTTTAATAGAAGAGAATAGATTTACTTCTCCAAAAAAGCAGTTTTAACTGAAATGGTTTTACTACCAGTTTTTCTTCTTTTCCTTCCCGCTTTCACCCATGTGGCCAAACGGTACATATCAAAAGAAATGGTATTGCGGACAAAATTAGCATTAGCAGAGATGCCAACTGCTCCGGACGGGAAAAAATTGTTTAAAAACGGTAAATAAGTACAAAATAAATTTTGCAAATATTTGACTGTTTTTGCTTGCTTTTTGAAAGGTATAGCATGACATAAGTGCTCATACTCATATGTGATGGTTATCTTAGCATCAGCCCCGCTAGGGGCTCTAACTAATTCATCTGAATGGAAATAAATAATAAATCGCCGAAGCGCAACTGAAAGGTGAAAGTTGGGGTTCAGTATCTTTTACTGAGAGAAAATTAAAATGAAGTAGTGAGATTGAGCAAACAAGTTTAGGAGAGAGAGAAGATTTTTTGTGGCAGACTGCCTCGCCTCCCTTCGAGGTCATACCCCCGAGCTTCTCAGGTGCACAGTAGCCACATAGCCTTAGGGAAAAGGAGAAATACATAATAAATGCGCAAAATTATTTACAAGTATTTACAGCTATTTACAAAATTTACGGGACAAAACCATACCTGCCAACTTTTACGCATTTGGCGTAAAATTTTATTTTTACCTTTAAAGTGGTAGTAATTATAAGCTATTTTTTCTTTTATAAACTTAATTTTTGAATGATTTTGATCACCACTATTTTTAAAAATCTTATGCATATATATTATTATGCGTTACTCTCACCTTGTTCAGCTCAAGTTTTTTCAGTTACAACGTATTTCGTTGCTTAAAATTGAAATTCCGTTTTAATACCACTGGGAAAAACCATAATTGAAGGAATTAAAAGTTGGCAGGTATGCAAAACTCCGTCGGATAGGAAGGACATAAGTTCTCTAAGATGGTGAATTATATAAGCCTATGAATTATATAGAAATAGTGGTGGATAAAAATCTACTAAATTTAATTTATTAAATCAACAATCACAATTGATAAACTACCATTTTAAAATATATATTTGCTGTCCGGATCAAGTTGGCATCTCTGCATTAGTAGTAGAAAAAAGTCTTACTTGATAATAAAATGTTGTTGTAAGTCGAGAAAAAATCAATTTCAATAGATTAACGCTGAATCTAAGGCTTTCATTCAAATCGAAGCAGTTTGTCTTTCTCTGTGATATTTACACTTTTACTGAGACAATAAAACCTGACATAAGTGCCATGATTGCAAAAGGTACAAACATTAACCATGTTTATTTCTTTTCATTCCAATAACAATTACTTTGTAACAAATGTGAAAGCTAAGTCAATGTTTTTGATTCAAATTCATACGATTTTATTTTCAAGATTACTTTAAATCAGAAAATTTAATCAGAATAGGAAATTTTTCGATTTTTTTCGTAATTTACCTTATTTTATATAAAAACTATAAAAACTATACAATACTACTAGTAGGTTATGGTTAACATATGATTTTTGACAGATTTCTTCAATCTGTGAAAAAGGAAATCTATGTAGAAAAGTAGTTTTGTCTAACTAAGCCTATAAAAAAAGAAGCAAAATATGTAACAGGTAAAAAGTTTTAATTTATCATTATACTCATACCCTCCAACTGCTGCGGAATTTCAGTAGTTTCAGAAATCTTCTTTTCTGACGGTAGCAAATTTAATGTCTTAACACTTTACCGACCGGCCGTCGATTAATCGACGTTTTGTTCTCAGCGCATACCGACCGGCCGTCGATTAATCGACGTTTNGTTCTGATAAAAGTTTTATGAGAGATCCATTTGCTTTAAAAATTTCTACTTTGGTTCGCTACCACTAGAAAGAATTATTTTCAAAATCCTCATAAGTTGGAGGGTATGAACTAACCGAAATAGGAACCTAATTTTGTCCCTAGGGTTTTTTTCTCTTCAAATGAAGTTTTTTTTTTTTTTTTTTGAAAAAAAAGTTTAAGTGGTAGCACACATTTTTCTTTGTTAATTTTCATTTTGAAAGAACGTGACGACTCCGCCTACAAAAGCACGCTAAAAACAAAAATATGTCAATCAAAAGTAAATCTGAAAAACTTTTTTTTCTATGCTCCAAACTTCTTTTTTTAGAGGATTTTTTTGCGGAATTGTAGATTGATTTTCCGAGTACTGTTACTTAATTATTAACTCTTTTGCTCCGACAGTCGCATTTACGTACCAGCCTTTCTAAGTTTAGAGATGCCAACTGCTCCGGACACGCCAAAATAATAAAAAAAACGGCAAATAACTACTAAGTAAATTTCGCAAATAAAAAGTGGTGAATTATGCAAGCCTACGAATTATTTAGAAATAGTAGTTGATAAAAATGTTCTAAATTGAATTTACTAAACCAAGAATCACAATTGATAAAATACCACTTTAAAATATATATTTGCTTTCCGGAGCAAGTTGGCATCTCTGTAATTGCTGTTATATGTATTCGTTCATGCGTCAAATTGACGTGCGTTCGTAGAGACAGGTATATAAGAAACGTCCGTAAACCTAGTGTTAAACAAAAGTTATTTTAATATTTATCCATGTTGCACGCATCTTCTTAATGAGATAATTGAAAAATTATGAATATCAAAACACTTTAGAAAGCTTATAATGATGATAATAATATTTATTTTTATTTTTATTAGGTGCTATTTTTACTCCTGGCTCTGAAGAAATGCAAACAGCGTTTAATTACGCAGTGTCATATCACAACAATAATGACTCTCAAGCTAGGTTTAAAGTGGAGCCTGTTGTTGAAGTATTAGATAGTGATGATTCTTATAAAATTGGACAAACATGTAAGTAGAATAATTTTCTGATTAAAAATGATATTTGTTAAAAATTAATTGATTAAATTATTTAGCATAATTCTCTATCTGTACTCTTATTACCTTTTTCCATTTTTTATTTGCAAAGGAATAATTATAACGCATATAAACCTTTTTAATGTGCCAGTGTGACGTTAAAATGGAACTGTAAATCTTTTTTTTTATTATTTTTCAATTGGATTTTTAAATATATTTAGTTTTATAGATAACTCATAACAGATAAAACCCCTACCTATTTTTTACCACTGTTTCAGTATGGTATTATTTCAATAAATGTATGTCAGAAATGGTAAAAATGAGTGGAACAGATTTTTTTCTCAATCTACACCTTTCACATCCTTTTGGTTTTACGTGCTTCGAAAAAACTTTTTTTCTAATAGTAGTGAAATAAGTATTAAAGCATTCATGTAGGCAAATTCCTAATTCACCTCTCACCTTTACTTGAAACACAACAAGATAAACATCCGGCTCTCTTTAAGCATGCTTAAACTATTTTCTTTTATGATTGTCTTTCAACAGCCAACTTAATATTTGGTTCTAGACAACTTTTACAATTACCAATGTTCAACTCCGTAGTCTTGCAATTTTAAAACCGATCCAGAAGATAAGGGAACTCTTGGATGAAGTATTGGGAGAAATTTGCCTTCGTGGAGAACTTTTTGACAGAGCTAAACCACATTTGCGTTACAGGGAGAGGAAAACTACAAAAATATCCCACGGTTAGCCTGGTGGAAAGGGGACTTCTTGATCCTTATAATATAATGAAATTAAACTTAGTTAAATGCATAAATTATATGTTTAATTTAATCAGATGAGTTACCACATTTTCATATAGGTAAGATTTCATTATTGTGTTATGTGTGTCCAGCCAACGCCTCCTATAACTGAAAGCCTTCACACGGTTTCTTTTAGGTAGTCCGATCAGACCACTATAAAGGCAAACCAATTAACGAAAGAGCCATTTAATAAAAAAATTAGTAAAACTAAGAAAGTGGTAGCAAATATATGTCTATAATTTTTTTTTAATTTATGAGTATAATTGATTTGTCTTATTTACTTGTCAACCACTACAGATTCAATTTTCAAATGTAAGTGATAAATTTCTCTTAATTACTTTTAATATAGAATTTAATTTCATGCACACCACTGGTTCACATTTTAAATAGTCTGCGCAAAGTACGTATAAAAAACCATGTGGAGGATTTCTAATGTAGGAGGTGATGGTCCTGCGTGTAAGCAGCAAACAGGGAAAGTTATTGAAACACTCTAAGTGCTAATTATGAAGCACAACTATGGAAATTATGATAAAATCTTCAATAATTAAAATATCTAAAAGTTTTATTTACATTACTAGCAGCCTTCTTCATGCTCTATTATGCGTAAGCAACATTCACATTACTAAAATGAATTGTTCGAATGCGAAAGTGATGAAGGTATCTCTACAAAATTTAATTTATTGCGCAGGTTAATGAAGTTTGAAACTCAACAAAGTATGAAATTAACTCTCGCTTTATTTTAAACAAGTGCAATTAAATGAATGTTTGGTATGTTGGTTTCGACTGCTATGATAAAATTATTTGTAATACTTTACTAGATAATAGCTGTATTCATGTGTAAAATTTTCCTCTTCGTTGACTTTTTGTAAGTGAAACTTTAAAATTATAAAACATTTTATTCATCGAAATTATTTTACAGTTTTGTTCCTAATTATTGGTTGGCTAATTTACACGTGCTACTGCTCGAATTAATAAGATTTACTTCTGTTCCTATGCACAAATTTTAAGTAGCTTTATTCCTTTAAATAATTGTCTTTTTTCTAACAATTATATTTAAATAGAATTTCAAATTAAAGCATTTATTCCACTTGTTCTATAAGTAAGAATCATTTTCGCGTAAGCAGAAGAATAATAACACAGCAACAGACTGAATAAATTATAGACTCTATTAAATGAACACTACTTAAAAATGTTTTTCATTAATCATTAAGATTGTCAAAAACTTTTAATGTTGAGTTCAAAACATTTTATAGAGTTTAAAAATAAATTTAAAATGAAAAATTCGGATTGGAAAAAAATTACACCAATATTTAAATTATGTTTCTGCTAAACGGTAAAAGAGCAATTGCCAACAATTGAGAGAATATTTATATGTTTATTTTTCTTGGTATATAACTAAGAATTATTTTCGTATAAACAGAAGAATATTGGCACAGCAAGTGACAGAATAAGTAATAGACTCTATTAAATGAGCACTACTCAATAATGTATTTCTTTAATCTTTTCGGTTGGCTGAAATCCAAATGCAATGCGATGACTGCAACAAGAAAAAAACGTATTTTATTCATTCTGAAAAAAAGAACATACTTTTTCCTCTTTTTGAAAAAAACTATATTTTTTTCCGGAGTAAGTAAGTCTCTCTTGGACTTTATTTGTTTTGTTTTATAATCAACTTATGAAAGCTTTTTTTTCCCCGACATTTATGTTAATGATATAATATTTTGCTTCAAATATTTTCTAGATAAATGATCAGAAACAATACTTTCGTTTCGAAATTAAATACTTTCTCTAATGAATTGAAATGCAAATACAGATTTTAAAAGCATTTAAACAGGTTGGCACCTACCTTCTCATTTATAGCTGTTTAAAAAAAAAACGTATTATGTGGTAGAAATTTCTTTTTCAAAATCATTACTTCTCTTAGAGAATTAAAAGATCTTTCCTTTCCTTTATTTAAATAAACGGGGCACCTGGGCCTCAAAGAGGCCCCTATCCCATACATCATTAACAATACAGTAAGGTAAAATACATTGATTTGGTAAACATTGTGGTTGCCATAAAAAATCGAGCCGTTTGCATGAGAAATAATAAATTAATGAAAGAATTCAATATGTCAAATAGACGGTTTTATATAACATTAGAAATATTGATTGTAGACTTAAATTAAAAATAAAGATAAAACATGATTTGTATGTAAAATAATTGATTTTTGAAAAATGAAACACATAATTGATGAATATAGATAAATCATACCTTGATACATGATAAAATAACAACATATTTGGAGAAAATGCAGTAAATATATTTTATCAGAGAAGTATTGCTCATTAAATACAATAGAATTTTCAGAAGAATTTATCGTGCATAAGTTGATAAATATGTATGCATAAATTGGCTATATTATCAGAAAATAAATATTAATGTAATTTAATTTAACTTAATTAAAAGTCTGCTGTGAAAAGTTCAGTGAATTTAACTTGAGATTCTTGAAAATAAAAATAGAACTCACTGGGATTGAGATGTTTCCCCGATGATCCCCGCAGAAGGCGGAGCACTTCTTCTTTTTTGTGCAATTCCTGTAATTCGTTGATTAATGACACTAATCGGTGAGCAAGTTTAGGCGTCGAATTTGATGTTGCCCGAGGGCTCCTTCTACTGGGACGGGTCTCGCACCCAGTATAGTTGGCTGTGTGGCCGGTGTAGAAATTACAGCATTTTGGAGGTGTTGTTCTGTCTTTGTTGCATTCATGAGACCAATGGTTTTCAGCGCATTTTACACACCTTGCAGTTGCATTGCAGTATCTTTGTGTATGTCCATAATTTCGGCAGTTGTAACATTGTATAGGTCCTCGACCTCCTTGAAATGGTTCGATTTTGATCGGGATCTGTTGATTATGCAGTTGTTGGGTATGCTGTTGATTTCGAATACTCTGCAGTGATTCGCCGTTGATGTTAGAATTACGAGAAAAAGAGGAAGGAGCCGATAGGACTCTCCCATTATCTTCTTAAACTGCACTATTTTAAAGGTTTCAATATTGTTTTTCGATTAAAAGATCTTGTACCGCAATAATTTATTTATGATTTAGGTATTCGTGACTATAACTGGTAAAAATATAAAATGAAATAAAATGAAAATAACAGTAGAAAGTACACACTAATTTTCATTTCTGTTCCATGAAATATTTTGAATCTTGGATATTTTCACGTCTTTAATTTCAAATCAGCAAACTTTCATCTCTCTAAGGTTAAGTTTTTTTAAAAAAATCACTTTTTTTTTACTATTTTTGTTGAATTAGGATTAAAAACGCTATATGTAACAAGCGGTCTCATAAGTCTACCGAAAAACTTATATGTGAGTTTGAGTCCAAGAAAAAATTCTTGAGGGGACCATAAAGATGTTTTAACTGTTTATGTTGGTTTCTTGATTTATCAGCAATATTTGATGGTAACCATCATCCAACAATTCCCATCAGGTGGTAATGGATTTCAATAGGTCAACAATCTTCCATCATTTCATATTGGAGGATGATACTTAACTATATGATGGTCAGTCAACATGTTATGTCAGAAATTCTTTGAGCAACAAATTCTATCATCTTATGATGAAAAATATTGCTTCAGTACTATGATGGTCAATCAATGGGTTATGCTTGAAATTCTTAGGACAACAACTTCCATCATTTTCGGATTTGATATTCTAGTACTATGAAGGCAATCATCGAATGATTTTTGGTATTGGCGAACCAACAACACCCATCATCTGATGATGGGACGTATTGATTTACCATTACTAGACAAGTTACCTATCAAGTATTGTTTGCTATTAATAATGGAACTTCATTTTTTATTTCATGATATAATAAACTCAAATATGATAAACCATTTCACATTGATGTCAAATGGTGTATTCTTCATGTCATGTTGACAATATTTTGTGTCGAATATTTTTCAACATGAAGTAATGTTTACATAACAACTATATTTTACGAATATTAAATTGTTGGGTTATAAATACAAATTGTCGGTTAAATAAATTGAAAATTCATTTAACGAAAACTGCCAGAAAAATTTTACTTTTTTCTGTGAAGGAAGAAAAAGAGTAAAGCTAAGAAGTTGTGCGTGAGCAGAGGTGGCATAAAAGTTGCTCCCTTCGCTTGCTTCGGTGAACAGTTAAAAGATCATCGCTGGTTAACG